TTAAAGTCTATGAGTCTATGAGACTGAGTAGTCATATTTGTCTGAGCAGTGTCCAGCCACTATTGCTGCTATGTAAATAATAATCATTTGCTTCTGGAGACAGGTTGTAGCAACAGATATCCATAGATGCCAAGTTTTGTGCCACTCCATTTCTTGACAGTGAGAAATAGTCAATGATATCCCATTCAGGGTCCATTTGTGTATCAATTCCCATCATTTCTGCTTAGAGATACTATTAATTTTTAAAATAAATTATCTTTTAGCCCTCATTTTACATTCAAAATAGTAAAACACTATTGGTCAGGAATGAGATTTTGTACCTCAAAAATCTCAGGGAAGTGGCAATAATGATTTTTTATTAATGATTTTGATTTTTGTTTCTTTTAAAATAAAGAGCAATATGATGACACATCTCTTACATTCATGATTCAATTAACCTCAATGGTGCTGAATAAAAATTATTTTAAATTTGAAATGTTTTTCCTTCAGAAAAGAGGTAATGCAATGAATTCTAATGTGGCATCTATTTATCAGTTATCTAAAATAGGTTAAAATTTATTCCCTATAAATGATTGCATTAAATGGGAGATATACTTTGGATATGGAAGTTAAGTTTTGATACCTACAAGCATTTTGTAGCTGAACTGAAAAGATTCTATTCTACTTTAGGTTTGGAATTTAATACTAACAATCACACTGTTAATTGTTTGGATGTATTGGTTACCAGTTTTATAACAAAATTACTACAACTCTCTTGGAAAGTTAGAACAAATTATTGATTTTAATCATACAAGATCGAACCTGAGCATTATTAGCCGTTTTACACCTAATTGTTGAGTTTGGATAATATGACCTATTCAGATAATGTCCAACTAAAATGTGTGAAAGGTTTACAGCACATAACTGTTATAATTAGACAACATGTAACAAAAAGGTTATAATTAGAAAGGTTAGGATTCTTCAGGCCTGGTGCTTGGGCTGCCTCTCCAGTCCAGTCTTCCTATTCAAATCAAATAGGGCCTTGCAGATTTCCAGCCCAGGCTCAAATAGAAGAGCCTCTCTGAACTGCTGATTCCTCAGAAGTCCCACACAGACCTGCTCGCAGCTATAATGTCCGATAGTCACACCCTGTTCCAATGACTGTGTCCTGGCTCCTGCTGCAGCCTGCTCTGTACACAGTTCTTGGGGCTTTCTCCTTGCATCTGGCTCCCAAGGTGCTGCTATTTTCCCAAGAACCAGATCATTTCCTTTCCTTCTATCTAATCAGGAGAAGGGGATGTGCAAGGGTGAGAGGGCTGATGAGAATGACCGTTTCTTGCTTACCAGGTTCATCAAAATCCTTTCCTAAGCTCCACAGACCCTATATTTTATCCTTGTTCTTATTGTGAAGGAGCCCCTGAAGCTCTGAGCCAAGCTGGGGAGTACTGATCCAGCTTTTCACAGGAGTTCTGAAGAGCTGCTCCTTGTGTCCCATTATAATCCGGTTTAAGGGGCTACTAGTAGGGTTGCCACCTCTGAGGTACAAAAAACCTGGACATCTGGGATGATCCTTAGTTCATAAAATTGGACAGCTCGGTGCGTGCACTGAGCACCCTTACAAATTTCCTAGGATAGCTACCCCAAAAAAGGGATGATCTTGGGAAAACCGGGACAGGTGGCAACCCTAGAGGCAAGTAAGGAATTAAAGGCTCATTGTGGTCACTCTCAGCAGCATGCAGAGGCAATTATGCCTACCACTGATGGGGTGTGGTTCTTATGGACAGGGCTCAGCCACACTTATCAGCACTCAGGAGGTTCCCTACTGATGGTCTATTGACTGTCTGAATGCATCAGTGGAAGGGAGAGGAGAGAGTGGCCTGCAATTTTTCAATAGAGCCCCAAGTACTTTCCTGCTGCACTTTATAATCTTCAGCAGCTGAGCTGTTCCAGCAAACTGCCTCAGAGAGGCACAGTACTTGGCAATAGCCACTTATATAGAACAGCCTATGCTCCAGAATTTGCCAGTAAGACTAGTTCCCCACGGACCCACCATCAGGCATGGCTAGCCTCTGGACTGCTACATTCTTGAATATGACAATGAGCAGTATACCAGAAAGGAAGACTCCAGGAAACAGGTTAAGCCAATTGCTAATAGACCCACTTAAGCAGTCCCTGGACCAGGAATTAGTAGATCAGATATTTCTTAAGTGGAACACAACAGAGATAAATCTATTTTAGTGACTTAAGCATGAACGTAGAAGATAGATACATCTGAAAATTATTTATGTACCGAGAGATTTTGAAATTTTGTTCATCGTCTTTTTTCCCTCAGGACTCTAATGAAAAGTTTAAAATATGTCTCCACCTTCCAGCAAAAGGATTCTTATCTAAATCAATCTTTGTGCATTAATATATTCTTCACAAATTCTTCTAGAATTCTATTAAAATTTAAGATTTACCACGATTTATTTTCCATAATAATAAATTGCATGCCATTTTTCATAGCACTCTAGCTTTACTCATAAACCCATCTTTAAAATTCCTTAGTTACGCTATTTTAACTGGGTGTTAAAATAATAGTCTTATTTCTACACTGCCATAACATTATCTAGTTTAGATACTTGAACTTGTTAAAACAGTAAACTATATTCCAAGAAAATGTTATGAGGTTACAGAACAAATTAGAACTTGCAGTCTGACAAACATCATCAAAATGCAATAACTGTGTATTATACTACCATCATCAGATATCCCTATTGTCTTTATAATTTTGTTATCTACCTGCCATCTTCATTGCTTCGATGAAATACTAGGAAAGGGTCAGATTTCCCAAAGAAGTCCTTCTTGTCTAACTTGTTCGCACAAAACTGCATAAGTACAGAATCCTAAAAAAGAAAAAGACAAAAATTATGCTCAGCATGTCATCTGCAAAAACAAAGAACAAACAACAAAAGAAAGTAGTTCATTTATATTTTAGCATTTAAGATTACTCACCTTCAAGATAATCCCTGCACATTCACATTCTTGGGATATGCCGACAGTGCAGCTTGGCCCAGTGAAACCTTCTAGAAGCAGTGCTCACTGAAGTGCTCTCAGATCCCTTTTGTCTCCAAGCATTTGGAAGGCAGGACTATAACAGGGAGACAGGTCATGGTGCACAAAATGCCTCAGTTCCTTCCATCGCCTTCTTGGGTCCAAAGTTGAAATTAAGACTGAGTAAGAGGGGAAGGTGGGTGGGGAGTGTGAATATGCAGAGTTCATCTTGAAGAATTTGGTTACAGGTGAGTAACCTTCATTTCCTCTGAGTGGCTTCTGCACTTTCCTACTCTTCGGATAGTTGGATAAGCAGTACTCTTGTCTCTGGATAGTACAACATGGAGTCCTAGTTAAATAGAGACTGTAATACTACTTCACCAAACTGCAGCTGACCTAGATGCCAGCTCTAAGGAATATTTCCAAAGTTTACGAAATAGAGCTCCACGTAGCAACTCTACAGATTTTTAATATGAGACTATTGTAGCTAACAGCCCAGACAGCAACTCCACCAACAATATGTCTAAGGCAGGCCACAGAAGCAGCCTTTGTTCTAGTCAAGGGCACTCTAAGCCCTTCTAGAAGAGGAATAGATGTAAGTTTAAAAATCTCTCCATACTTATTCTAATTCACTTAGAAAGGCATTGGCATGCAATTGCCAGACCGTTACTCTTTTCTGAATGACACAAAAAAAACCTTTAGAAACAGCCTGTATTCCTTAGACTGATTCAAATGGATACCAAGAGAGCATTAGCCCTCTAAGTTGTGCTTCCCTGAGTGAAAGTAAAGCTTGGGAAAATATACTGTCAAGTTTATAGCCTGGTTAAGATGGAGTTTTGTTACAACCTTGAAGGGAAATTTCAGATACAGACAAAGGACGATGATATTTTTGTGAAACCACTGTAAGGGAGAGAGGGGAAATCAGCAATAAGAGCCTACAACTTGCTCACTCATCTAGTGAATTTAATAGTTACCATAAAGGCTGCCTGAATTGTGATATGAAACAGGGAACATTCTCCCATAGGCTTGAAAGGAAGTTCCATGAGCTAAGTACTAGATTGAGGTTCCATGTAGATATGGACTCACTAATCAGAGGGTAGATGTTCATTAATCCCTTCAATATCTCATTATAGCATGTCTAAATATAGTATTTTGCTTGACTACACTTTGATGGTATCTTGAAGCCAAGATGCTTGTGAAATGTACTTTTACTGACCGTTAGGACAGCCCAAAGGATTTCAAATGAAGTGATTACTTCAGTATGGATTGAACAGGAGCTGAAGCTTGGTTCATGTTATTGTGGGTTACACACGAAAAGAAACTTTTCCACTTATAATCATAACTGGTGAGTTGACTGCTTCCTGAAGTTGAATAGACTCTTTATTTTTTCCAAACAGATAGCTCAAGCTCTAGGGCCATGCCGTCAAGTGGAGAGAGTCTGGATACGGATGGCAATTCAATCTCTCTGTTAGGTGAGTAAGTCTGGAATTGCAGGAGACAGATAAAACCCTTGTGATTGTCACAGTATCTGAGAATGACTAATGTCTTGCCCAGGCCAGGGCAATCACAATAACCTTGGCTTTGTCTTGTTTAATTTCCAGTGAACTCTGAATTAGAAGAATTGGGGGAAATGCAGAGGAGACCTACCTCACAGTCTAGAGGAAATACAACCTGCCTTGAAGCAAAACCTCTTACATCTGGAGTTGCGTCTTGTTGCAACAAGATGCATCTCCGGATACCTTCACACGGAGAAGATATAGTTTGTTACCAAGTTCTTGAGTAACTACTTGTGCTGATCATGCAAGTTTCTGCTCAGCTGATTGGCCAGTATCGTGTCTTTGTTTGCTTGTTCATATAAAATATCGATGTAGTATCGTTGGTAACTACTTGAGCTACTCTGCCATATAGCTGAAGGAGAAAGGATTTGAGAGCCCAAAGTATTGCTCTTAATACTGATATGGAGTTTTTCGTCTCTGAACTTCCAGTGACTGAACTGTCAAATTCTTGTAACAAGCTTCCAGCCCAGATTGGAAGCATCTGAGTCTACTGTGTCTGACAGAGTTGCAGGGTTGAATGTGGGGATAGGAACACACCTCTGGGTAGTGTCTGTATTTGGTGTATAGTGTCTTTTTAGCCAGTGTAGAGGCCTCATCTTTAAATGTGTACGTAGTGTTATGTATGTCACAGAAGCCATAATGCTACCAAGCTTGAGTAAGAACAGCACTGTTTGATATTAGTTCTCCTGTAGTACTTTTATCGCTGTAAGGATTTTAAAGTGCCTTTCTTCTGGAACAAAATCTCGCCCTTTTGAGAATACAAAATTTAACCAACAAAAGGTATGATGTGGGCTGGAGATATGTGCGATTTCTTCCCATTTATCTTGAACCCCAGTGTTTGGAATAGGGTACATGATTGTGACATCCTGTGAGGATGCCCAGATGAGCCAATTGTACAAGTAAGGGACCCTAACTTCTCAAATGTGCTGCTACTACTACTGATAGGCACTAGAGGTGCTGCAGACAAGGCATATGGAATGACAACAAGCCATAAGTATTTTTGATGTGAATATCTGATTGAGATATGACAATAAGCATCCTATACAGCAAGAGCCCCAAACCAGTCTTGAATTGATCAAGACTTGGATACACAAGCAGAGGTTGAACTTTCTGTTGAAAGAGTTGAGTTTTTGAAGGTCTAAAATGGACCAGAGATCTCCATCTTTCTTTGGGATCAGAAACAACCTGGAATAAAATCCATTCCCTTGTAACTCTTTGGGAACTTCCTCTATGGAATCCAACTCCAGTATTGAATGAATTTCTGATCGGAGCATGTCCTCAGGCAAAAGATGCATGAAAAGAGATGGGGAAGGAGAGTTGTGGCAAGGGATAATGTTTAACTGAATGTTGTACAGTCTCCAAGATCCATCGGTCCGTGTATATAAGAAACATGAGAGTGTTTTCAAATGAAGGTAAGCCCTCTTATAGGTTTAAAACTGACCTAATTTTCTTGGGCGTCCCATCAAACTTGAGGCTGGTGCAGAGGAAGGTGATACAGTGGAACTCCCACTAGCTCATGATAGCTACGGCTGCTAATGCTGAACAAAGGGCTGCTGTTGGTATAGGAAGTAGAGGCTTGGTATGGTTTCTCTGGCAACAAAACTTTGATTCCCAAATTCTTTTCCTAGGGGGCTGAGAAATCCCCAGAGACCTTGCAGCAGACCTGGTATCTTTCAGTTTTTCTAGAACCTTGTCCGAGAGCTAAATAGCCTCTCACCATCAAATTGTAGGTCCTGGATGGAAGTTCTTGTTTCTGGAAGAATTCCAGAACATAGATACACGTGGTGCCTCAAAGTAATTGTGGATGCTTCAGCTCTAAACATTATATCAGAAGCATTAAATGATGTTCTCAAGGATGCATAGCAACTAAATGACCTTTGATAACCAGGGCTTTGGCCAGTTATCTCTGGTCTTCAAGCCAAGGCTGGGCAAACAGTGCTATTTTACATTACTGCCTGATAACTCACCACTAATTCTCAGCTTGGCAGAGGAAAACATCTTTCTACCCTCTGCATCTAGTTGCTTAGTTGCTCTAACAGAAGGGGTAGAGTGGACTACACCTTTATCACAATTATCAAGTGAGCTGCACTTTATACCCCTTCTAGTCTGTCTTGAGTGCACTTCACAGGTGACTGGCCTGGCCACCTTCACCCTCTCACAATGGTGAAACCACATGGTCCTACTACTCAAACTGGATCTCTGAGCTGCAGCCCCCATTTACCAATTGTGTTAACTTGACAGACCCAAGTGGGTCTGGCACTTTTCCTCCAGGAGCTTGTGAAATAATAAGATTGCGGGGACAGAGAAACAGCTTCTTACAAAAAAAAAAAAAAAAATTATTCACCAAAAGGTACATACCAAGCCAAGCAGATGGTATAAATAATTAAAGACTTATATTCTCATTTCCCCTACCTGCACCTTTGATAAGTTCCATATAGCCCAGTTATCTTCCTCTCTAGGCTGGGAGAAGCAGACTGCTTGCTGCAGCTTCTGTCTGCCTCATTCAGCCTGTGTGCCAGGCTCAGTCTGCTAACAACCCTTTCTCCCTTTCTTCCCTCCCTCCATCCCTGCTAGGCTAGGATCTTTAAGATTTTATTATATGCTTTGATCCTAGGTTTTGCCCAGAAAAAGTAAACTTCGTCAGCCTAGCGGGCGCCAGGTCTGGAGTTATTTCCCACTTAATAGCTTCTCCATTGTTCCTGAAGGATGTTGGCTATTGCTTATGATAGCACCTTATCTTTGCCATTGTTTTATTTCCTGTTCGTTTCCCGTTACAACTTCCTTTGACTTAAATCCGTAGAATCAGAGAAGAGAATATAACAGGTAAACTGAGGCACGTATATTTACAAATAATACACATAACTCCCTCATTCTGCACAACTGCCCTTTAGCTCTTTGGGCAGGAATCACCACTACCAATGAATTTGTAGGTGGAAGGATCAAAAAAAAGATGACACCAGAAGGCAGCTCCATATAGTTTGCTTTTTTAGTAACTGCCAGTCCTGATGCTCGGTTTAATCCGGTATTTTATGCCAGCTGTAATAAACTTCCTAGAATTCACTAGGTAATATTACTCCTAGAGGATGAACTCAGAATACTGAAAACTAAGTGTAGTTTCCTCTTGTTACCAAAGGGACGTTTAAGGTAGCAGCCATTCTTTCTGCAACCTGGAACATATATTCTACAAGGAGAGGAATAAGATGATGCACCCACGTTCTTATGTGGAAAAGTTTGAACATCTGGATCTGGATCTATAGTCAGAGGTTCAATAGGCTCTTCTATTGCTCTACCTCAGA